CTGAAATTAGTTGCAAGGCAAATATGTCTACTTTCATTCAGAAATCTTAATTAACTCCTAGAAACAACAAATAAACCAGTAGAGCAAAATAGCAAGCTACAAAATCAATACACGAAACAAAATGTGTTTTGTTTTCATATGCAAACAATGAAGTAGAAGAGATAGAGCTCTAAGATATTCTACTTCCTTTAAAATCGTTCTCCAAATGGACACTGGTGGAGGGAAGAGTATTCGATCATTGTATAACTGAAGCCCAAACACAAAAATTTGTAAATCTACAACTGTACCTCATGGTGTTTCACTAATAAAAATCTAAATTAAAAAAATGAAAAAGCAAAAAAAAATCGTTCTCCAAAATATCAAATATCTAGGAATCAACTTTCAAGAGGCTATGAAAGATATATACCACGAAAACTGTAAGTCATGCATGGAAAAATAGAAGAGGACACCAAGAAATGAAATAATTCCATATTCATTGATTGGAAGATTTATATTGTCAAAACGTCCATTCTATTCCAAGCACTATGTAGATTTAATATAATATATATCAAAATAATAATGACTTTAAAAAAAGAATTAGAATGAACATTACTAAAATTTGTATGCACAAGTTAAAGCCATTCTGAAAAATAATGGGAGGTATTGCATTTCTTTATATTAAACTACATTATAAATAATCTGAACAGCATGTTACTGGAATAAGAATACATGACAGTGTGCTGTAAATAAAACTATATCAAACAAGACAGATGACTGGTTAAAGAAACTTTGGTACATCTACACAATGGAGTACTATGTAGCTGTTAGAAAAGATGAAGTCATGATTTACATACAAGTGGTACTACATGGAAAGTATCATGCTAAACAAAATGAGTCAGAAAGAGAGGGACAGACATAGAAAGTCTGCATTCATCTGGGGAATATGAAGTAACAAAATAGGAGACTAACACCCAAGAATAGCTGAGATAAGTACCAGAAGGTTTACTCCATGGCTTGGAGGCCAGCCCCACATGCTAGGGGAAAAGGCACCTCAGATAGAAAAGGGAGCACCAAATAAATGGTGTTGGGAGGATCTTCCCAGGATGGGAGATGCATGCTGAAAGTAGACTATAGACTGAACATGATTGCCATCAATGCCTCTTTTGCAAACCACAGCACCCAAAAGGAGAGAGAGAACAAAAGAGAATGTCCAGCCACAGAGGCAGGGTGGATGGGGGGATGCGGGGGTGGGAAGGATACTGGGATCCGTGGTGGTGGAGAATGGGCACTGGTGGAGGGATGGGTCCTCGATCATTGTATAACTGAAACCCAAGCACAAAAATTTGTAAGCAAGTTGGATTATGTGAAATTCAAATGTTTTGTGTGACAAAAGAAACCTGGGCTAAAGTAAACCCTCACCCTTGTGATTAGGGGAATAATTCACACAAATACTTCAAATAAAAAAATTAATATCCAACATCTATAAAACACAAATCTCAGCAACAAAAGAACAATTAATCCCATCGAAAAAATGGGGAGAAGAGACGAATAGACAGTTCCATGAAGAGGACATATAGATGGCCAATAAGTGTTCGGTATCAGTATAAGAGAAACACAAATTGAAACAAAAATGAGGTATCTCTTCACATCTGTGAGAATGGCATGTATCAAAATATTTGGGAACAAGCACTGGGGGTTGTGATGATAAAGGAATCCTCATTTACTGTTGGTGAGAATGTCACCTGGTCCATTATCTATGGAAAACAGTATGAAGATTTCTCAAGAGTAGGAATGAATCCCTCAGTTGACCTAGCTATCCCATCTCTAAGTGTCCACCTCACAAACACAAGCACATTAAATCAGAAATATATATATACAAAAATGGAATTAATGGATAAAGAATATGAATATGTGTATATCCATATTTATTTATGTGTATCTATTCTTATATAAATATGCATATGTTGGAATATTAAGCATCCACAAAAAAATTAAGTTATGCAGTTTGCAGAAAACTGGATAAAATTGGAGGGTATTATTGCTGAGAAAAATAATCCAGAGGCAGAAGGATAAACACAGGATGATCTCACTCGTCTGTTAGATATAGAGAAAGAATCAAGGGCAAGTAAACATAAATTGATAATAAACTCTGAATTCTGATTACACACCTAAAAGTGCTAGCTTGGGGAAGGTAGAGATGAGGAGAATGAAGAGGTTGAATAAAAATAATAAAGGAACATAGGTGAAGGACCTGGAACACATGAAGAATGTGGAAGGTAACAGTATGCATCAAAACCATTTGTAGGGGAGAAGGACAGTTGGACCAGAACTGACATAGGGACAGGGCACAGAGTTATGGGCACTTTGCTGTTGGTGGTGTGCTGTGACTTTGTATATAAATAGCATAAATTTAATCACTATTGTATGCCATTACCTAAAGTACAATAAGACATTATAAAGTTGAAAAAACAGAACTGGTGCTCTGTAAGTCCTTTGCATTTAGCACCCTCCCAACATTGGTTGTCATTTTCTCTGTGGTTCCAACTTGCTGGGCTTGCCTTTCTGCTTTCTGTCTGTTTCCCCTCTTTTACCACCAGAGAAGTGCTCATTAACTCTGCACTCTCCACAGTTCTTCATTCCTCAGCTAAGTCTCCCTGAGGTGATGGTTATTTTCTCCAGTGAATTTTCTTAGTGAGACCGCCTGTGAGGTGCTGTAATCTGCTCATTTTATGTGTTCTTTATGGTGATGTCATAGAAGTTCTCATAGAACTGTTCACTTTTGGCCATTTTGTTCTTATCTTTTCATCCCTAACTTCTTCTCTAAATGCAAATAGAACATTAAAGTGAAGCTATTATATTTGTTTGGTAAGGGGCTCAAGTAAACTTAAGCTATTAGTTCAGGAAAAAAATCTGTATTCCCTATTTGTGGATGGTTGTCATTTTTGTCTCTTTTTATCCCTTTCTGCTTGGGTTTCTGACTGAGGCTGGGTGGCAGGGAGTGGGAGTGGGAATATCTGTGTGTCCAGTCTTGCAGCCTAGAGAGGCCCAGGAACCTAGAAGCACTCAAACTACAATTGTGGTGGGGATGGTACAACATGACAGAACCAAACAAGGCATGCACATCATTCATTGCCAGACTATGCCCACCTGCCCTCAGTCTGGTGGTGAGCTGGTCAGACCAGAACCTGATTGACTAGATAGTTACCCTTGCTGAATTCCAGCTAGTGTCAACTGAAGTGGCTAGTGGTAGGTGTTAGTGGGATGTGCACTGGAGTTTATTGATGCCCAAGATGATCAGATAAACCAGACTCTTCTGAGCATGGCTAAGAGTGAAAGGGGTTGGGGTGTGGTGAGAGAGAAATTATGTTAATTGAAAGTCCATTGTGCAGTAGTTTCCCTCAGAGCATCATGCTAGCACCATGGAGGAACCTGTAGGCTCCACTTCCTGTCCCAGACTCTGCTCTGCTATAATTAGAATGAACTCAACACTAGTGAAAATATTTATCATCAGGTGGCACCCTCTGTTCTAATACTTGCCATGTATTTCTAGGAATGGAGTTAGATGAAACGTTCCCCTTCACACTTGAGACCCAGACCCAAGAAGGGCTCATTTACCGTGACCTCATTTCCTATATTGTAATACAAAGATGTATGGGCTCACAAGCACCCAACTACCTGGGAATATTGTTAGTAAACCCTGGACCCAAGGTTTGGATTTATTTGCTGATCTCTTCACTTGCATTCTATAAACTCATTATGAGCTCTTTCTGGAAACTGACTTTCATTTTTCAAGAGTATGCTCTCTTGCCCATCATTTTCCTGTTTTTTCTCATTATTAGAAGAGCTTTAATGGTTCCCTGAGCTTGAAACAGCAGAGCCCCACAGGAAGAGCTGCTAATTGTAAAGATTCTGAAGGCAAGCTGTTCTTTCTGAGTAAGAGGTGAGTAACACCTTCTCAGACAAGCTGTCCCCCACCCCCTCAGGTCTCGGGGTGGCTTAGATTCCTCAGTTAGGGAAATGACTTCACCAGCAGACCTGCCAATAGATGCTTAGTGAGTGAATTCGCATAAGAAGTTAATTAATTTAGTAGGAAAGCTCAATTTTAAGTTCATGCAAATCCATTATTACCTACTTCATGGACAAAAGCAAACTGGAGTGGAGTGACCCTCCCTGGGAATCATGTCCAATGCCCAGAATCTTCTCTAGCTGAATGCCAATTTTTAGAGGTGATATCAACTCCCGCTTTTCTCCCCTTCCTCCTTATGCTGTAAGGATATAACCTTCATTCTCCTCAACAAGGTTATTATGGGAAAATAGAATGAACAAGGCCATGGAAAACCAGGAGAGAAAAGGTCCCAGTGTAAGTCCCTGGAATGCAGCCCCCTGGACTGTGGGCCTCTGGTCTTCGGGCACCTGGAATGGGACTGAAGCTGGAAGGAGAAAGGGTAAGGCAGGTGTCCCTGCACTCTGCGTCAGGCTGCTCCCCACTGCCCACCCGCATCCCACTCCTCACCCAGCATCTCAACCACAGACCCCAAATGTTCTCTGGAGCAGATATTACCAACTCTTCCTCAGAACCAGAGGTTTTGAAAGTGAGAGTGAGGAAGTTAATGTCTCTGACTGTATTCTAAAAGTTAAAAGTGAGAGTAATTGTTTTCGTGTACTTTGTGGATGCTATTTAGATAATCCTGAACACTCCTGGGCCTCATCATGTTGAAAAATCTGTAAAAATCTTATTGTCTAGCACTTGGAATCTGGGAAAAATAATGGTTTTTCCAATAATGGCATGATGTAAACAGATAAGATTTTTGTGCTCCCACATTACAGATGGTTGCGTGACATGTTCAGGGTGTGGAAGGTGGAAGGACTTGTGTGTGTGTGTGTCTCACCAGCAAACCTCTCTTCAGGACCTGATGCCCCAACATTTTCCTTTAGTATTTCACTCAGGTTAATTTGACTGCTCTTTGTAACATTGTATTACAAAACCAGTTAATTCTAATGGGAGAAAAAGGATTACTCACATTCCTTGGTGTTGGGGGGCGCCAGGAGGCAGGAGTAGCAGACCATGCCGTAAATGTTCCTGGGTCTGTTTTCCAACATATAGTAGCTAAAGGGTGGGAAAGACAAGATAAAGCAGTTGGGTGAGTGGGGAGGTCAGCACAGCATGGGGACTAATAGGAACACTGGTCGGTGCAGGGCACCCAGGGATGTCAGCCTGTCTTGAGATGTAATATTCTTTATTCAACAGTGGGCTTTTCTCTAATTCCTCACCCACTCCCTTTTTGGTTACATTTGTTGCAGGAAGGGAGATGAGGATGGAGGGGCAGATGATGCAGATTGAGAAAAACATTGACATCTAAACCAGTTTGAACAGTATTTGAGACCCAGACCCCATCTCAAGAGCAGGATCAGAAAACCTGTTGAGATGCAGAATTCCAGGCTCTGAACATGGCTGGGCCCCACTGGAGGAGAGCTCTAGCGCTGCGATGAGGTCCTTGCTAAGAGCATCAAGGGAAGAGCATCAGTAGCTCCAAGCTCACCCCTTTTGGTGACCACCCCAAAAATGGCCTTTGGAAGACAGTTTGGAAAACTACATTATAAAGTAACTTGACGGGGAAGAGACGTCCACGTTTGCCCGCATCTCCTCTGGACATGTGTTTTTGCTTTACCCTATGTGTGCATTTCCTGCCATACCCCCCTGAGGTTTGTACTTTCTGACTTTAGGGTGCATTTCCTTATTCTGCTGAAGTGGCCTGTACAACCCTGCTTGGGGTGTGTACTTGATTTTTTTCCACTCTGGGGAAGCCTGTATTCTCTCTTGAGCACATAAGTGTCTCTTGCCATTCCTTTATTTTGAAAATAGAGTTGTTTTACTTCACTATCTGTCCCCTGAAATTCTTTTCTGTGAGCGAAAACAACAGACTTGAAAAGTCTGGGTAAGATTTGGACTGACTTTTCTAAAAAGAATAAGTCCTTGCTCCAGCCTGGGTCTACAGATCTCCAGGAAATCAGATGCAGGGTCCATTTCCCACATTAGGTACTTGGATGGATCAGATGACTGCCTCAGGGCTGCAAGAGGTGAGACCTGTCCCATGCAGGGGCTCCTCACAGACTTTCAGCAGCTGTAGACTCCTCAGACGCTTCCTTGGATGGCTGAGATATTTAGGGAGTGACAGCAGACTGAGTTCTGGAGGCTACCCTCTCCCTCCTCCCCGATGAAGCCCTAGTACTCCCTGTGGGAGTTGTCTCTCCCATCTGCAACACTTTGGTGGATTTTCTGAGTGTTCATGGCATCACCATGCTTCTCTGATGCTTCTGCCGAAACATCTGTGTGTCCCCCACATCTGACTCTGCTATGTTGCCAGCCAGGCTCCTGTGGAGTGCCTCGGTGCCTCAGAGCCCATGGTCTGCTGATATTGTTGATAGATGTGTCTGTGAGCCTTTGGCATGTGGGGACCTCCCAGAATACTCAGACACTTGCTGACTGAAATTTAATGGAGCTGGCTGGCACAGTATGGCAGCAGTTGATGAGAGTGAGTGCAATGCCTAGCAAGGCAATGCCCAGGACCTTAGAGAGAGCATGCATGCAGCACAGCAGGTCATACACAGAGTTCACATGCTTCCATCTCATACAGCACTTAACCAGAGACATCTGTGTTAGTACAAGCATTCATGCTGAATTCACACTCTCTTCACAATTATACCGAAGCCTATGCTCTTATAACAGTGCTCAGTGGGTCTCTATAAGCTGCTGCTGTAGGCAGGAGGAATGGCAGAACTCATTCCTGCAGAGCTCCTGGCTGAGGGTCTGAGGGGGTGGCAGGTCCTCCTTCTTTCTCAGGACTTACACCTTCTCCTGGGTTAAAGGTTTTGACACTCTACATGGTATCCCCCCTTTTAAAAAAATAAACAAACATTCTACTGTTATTATGGAATCTTTTATAACATGAGAAATTTATTTTAAAAACTGAAGAGTATATCAGTGTTTCCCTTCTTTATCAAGAGATTTGATTAAAAACTATCCCTCTTCATTATTGAATTTTTCAGGACTGTTTTCATCTGTTGTTTTAATTGACCACTCAAACCCAGGTCCCAGGCCCAGCAGCGGTAAGCGGCAGCATGGGGCAGGCAGCCTGGATGCTACTAGTCCTTGGGGGTGAATACTCATTCCTGGGAATGCTACAACTATAGTTGCCTGCCCTCCTCATGTATCTCATAAATATTAATCTATCTCAAGGAGTTAATCTTCAGAGAAGGTGCCAGAGACAGTCCTATAGTTAAGCCATCAAGAAAAAGCCTCTGATCCCCAATGTCTCCCATTAGAACCTCTGTGCCTTGTCCTTGGAAGGACACTGAGCTTATGGAGGATGCAGCCCTGGAGAAACAGGCCAGGCTCCAGCCACATCCCAACGGCTAGGTCAGCTGGGCCTCTCTGAGAATCTTTCTCACCCTGTCTTTCAGGGTCGCCAGCACTTCTCTTCCCCCCTCACATTGTCTCCACATTCAAGGGGAAAGTCCTGCTCACACTGTATTCTCAGCACCCCCAAGCTGTGTCCTGAGAAGGAAAAATATGAGGCAAATGCTGGTTGGAAAAATAAGTGAAAGAGATCAAGTTCTTCTCAAGAGATATTCAAAGTTCAAAGAATGCTAAGAGCCCCGGGGTGTTGTTATGCCTCCCCACACCCACAGCTAAATTCACCTTGTTTGTCAGGCTGGGTGCCAAGTTCTGTCTTAGCTGAAGACTTTAGGACAGGCTGCTTGGAATCCTGATAAATGCTGAACCTTAGGGTTTTCTCTGCAGGACAAGTATCAGCTTCTCAAAGTCTGGTTTGTCTCCATAGTCCCTTTCTGGGGAAAAATAGTTGCTTAGCTCGCTCCATGCTCCCATCAGCTTGGAGCTAGGTGTTCATTTAAGAATATTTGGTCCTGCTAAAGGGTTTCTGGGTCCCTCATTTATTTGCAAAGTCTTTACTTTTCTTTGATATGTATTTTGACTTTTGTCGCAGCCTCACACCCACCCACCCCATCTTCAATGTTCTTTTAAAGGATTAGTTTCAGATTATGTTTTGATTTTAGGCCACACCTTGCAACACTCAGCCATCATTCCTGGTGGGTCAGGGAACCATATGGGATGGCCAGGATATAACCTGGGTTGGCTGTGTGCAAAACAAGTTCAGTCAGTTTAAGTAGGGACTCTGGAATGCTCTATGAAGGGACCGACATTCTCGAAGCTAATAGTAGATAGATTTACCTTGAAGATTTACTTTTCTCAGAGCTCCTGAGAACATGGATGCCAGGAAGCTGCATCAATTGCTCCACTCTTCCCCATGCAGGCACATAGTGCTGTGCCCTTCACCCTGCCCCAACTAGCCTCAGCTCCAACTCCAAGGTAATGAAAGTGGTGTGGACCCCAGCAAGTGGGAGTTTCTCAAGGGCAAGGTGCGCCCGGGGCAGTTATGAAGTCTGATCCCTCCCAGCTTCCTTTCCTTGTGTTTTGTTCTCTGTCCTTCCACACAGGAAAGCCCTGGGTAGTGCACGCTGTTCACTGAGAGGTGCAGCCACAGACTGTACACAGAAATGATGAAGAATAAAAAGAGAGAAGCCACTAAACCACAAGAGGGGAAGCTACAGGAAGACAAGTAGGAGATGTCTGAATCCGCTACTCGGAATCACAAGAAGGGAACGAAACAGCCTTTCACTGGACTCAGTAGCACCCACTCGCCAAAGCTCTGACATGGTATGAGGCTGCATTTTGTCCTTTAAACCAAGGCCATGTAACAGAAAGTGGGAGGCTTTCAGGGACCAGATGGGTCAAGCACTGAGCTCACTAGAGTGGGCACCAGAAGATTGGGGCCAGGCAAAGTTGGAACCACCTGTTTTACTGGCCTTGGGGTTGGGAGCAATTTGTTTCAATAGTCAGATTACATCCCAGAGCTATATTTGTTTCCACAGCTGTAGTGCTGTGTGAAGACACAGGATACACTAGCTGGGCCTTCCTCATGCAGCTCTCTCCATGCTCTGCAACTGCCCCTTTCCTGGGCACTGAGGACAAAGATATCTTCATTAAAATATTATGTTAAGAATGCGTACAGTACCCGGTCCAAACAAAGTCAGACTCGAACACGCGAAGGATCTGCCACCAATACTTGTCAATACGCTGGCTCGGCTCTTCACAGACTACCTGTCTGAATGTAAGGTTCTGTCCCAATGGAAAATCAGCAGGACCATTCTGTTGTACAAGAAGGGAGACATTCATGACATCGGCAACTATCCCCCGATCTGCCTGCTGTCCGTGGTCTACAAGTTGTTCACTCAAGTCATCCTGAATAGAATAGGCAGAACACTAGACAAAGGACAACCATGCAAGCAAGCCTGGTTCCTAAAAGGATTCAGCACGATCCACCATATCCACATGATGATCAAGCTTATTGAGGTTTCCCGAGAGCACAAGATGCCGCTCTGTCTACCATTCATCGATTTAAAGAAGGCCTTTGATTCTGTTGAGACTAAAGTGGTCATCGAAGCCCTAGCCAAACAAGGTATTCAGACTCAGTACATCAGGATCTTCTGTGGGCTGTATTATGGATTTACCACCAGGATCTCACCATTCTACAAGGAAGTGATCATCGATGTCAAAAGACGGGTTCGGCAGGGTGATACCATTTCACCGAAACTCTTCAGTGCCACCCTCAAGAAAGTCATGCAAAGACTGGAATGTTAAGAAATGGGAGTGAAGATAGATGGTTGGCAACTACACCACCTCTCCTTTGCTGATGACATCATTCTAATAACAACAACCATTAGACAAGCAGCACAAATGCTGGACAACTTTGACCGTGAGTGTGGAAAGGTCAGACTGCAGCTGAATGTCACCAAGATAATGTTCATGAAAAATGAACTAGTCCCTGATGTTCCATTTGCTCTCAATAGAACATCTCCGAATGCAGCATCTATGTGTACCTGAGTCAAGAACTCAGCATGAGGAATGACTTGGTGCCAGAGCTGCGCAGGAGGAAGAGAGTGGCATGGGGCGCCTTCAAGAGCATCAAAGAAGTTGTGAAGCGGACAAAGAACCTCTGGCTCCAGGCACATCTTTTCAACTCCACCATTATTCCTGCACTAACATACACCTCAGAGACCTGGGTCTTATGAAAACAGTACGAGAATACTATTTGGATCTCCTAAAGAGAAATTAAAAGAGATATGTTTGGAGTATCACACTTCACTCAAGTGAGAAGGAATTCGGAGTTCTGACCTCTGTCGACGATCAAAAATCAGGGATCCTGTCTCCTTTGCAAAGGCAATGAGATAGGGACGCATGGTCACCCACCTACGAGATGGTCAGACTTCTTTGTCAAAACCCTGAACAAACGGTTTGAGGCTCTTTGTGTTCCTGGAGCATGTAGATTCCATTGGTCTACACTAGCATGTGTCAGGGACGAATGGAGATATTACTGGCACCCACTTGAGCAAATCGATGATCAACAGGATGACAAGTGATACAAGTGGTTAAGAATGTTATATTAGGGGCTGGAGTGATAGCACAGTGGGGAGGGTGTTTGCCTTGCACGCAGCCGACCTGGATTAGATTCCCAACATCCCATATGGTTTCCTGAGCACTGCCAGGTGTAATTCCTGAGTGAAGAGCCAGGAGTAACCCCTGAGCATCGCCAGGTATGACCCAAAAAGTTCTCACAGGACTGAGCTTGTGTGGTACCTGTCTTGTGAAAGGGGTAGGACTTGCCACCTGGCTCCCATGTGTCCTGGTTCCACACACATTGCCTCCTCCCCACAGAGCTGTCCATGGATCCATGGAGAGTTGCTGGACTTCAGGACTGAACAGGTGGGTGCTCGTTCCCATGTTGGTGAAGTTTTCCAGCCATGGGGACCCAGGGCTCTCTGTAGAAAGTGCCTTGTGCTTACCCAGGGAGACAAGGCCCGCACTCAGCATCATTCTCCATGTCCCCCGGCGTAAGCACAGTGGCCCGGAAGAAGCCTTCACAGTCTTTGTGGCGTCTGCAGATTTGGTAGCCTCCCTTGGAAAACTTCTCCGCTGGGCAGGGCACACAGCCGTAGTCTTCATCCTTGGTGCCGTACCCGCAGGACTGAGGAGGGAGAGGAAGACAGCACAGCTGAGTAGGGGACACATGCTGTGGGTGGCCCCAGCACCAAGTGCACGGAACAGGGGCACAAAGGGCCTGCTGGCAGACGGCCCCAGACTAATTCTTCCTGCCACAGAGATATTCCTCCCCAGAGCCTGTGACTTATCTGTTCTCTACAAGAATCCAAAACAGTGAAGATGAGTACATATTTTTTAGCCCTAATACACAGAAAAGCTTAGCTTTCTCCAGAGAAGACAAAGTATTGGAAATAACCATGTTATTACTGGAAAATATTTCAATCGTATATCGTCTGGTTTAGAGAGCTTGAAATACAGTTAATCAAAACCAAATTTGATAGCATAGGCACAGCTCACTTTATTGTGCATTGTTACAAATGGAAGGTTTGTGGCAACCATGTGTGGGTGTTTATTTTACTTACTTTGTATCTCAAATCACATCTAATTAAGATATGTCCATTTTACTTAATTAACTTTGTGTCTTGGTGTCATATATAATTAAGATATATGCATTTTTAAAGAGATAATGCCCTTGTGAACTTAACTTTTATATATCCTAGTAAACAACAAAAAAATGTCACTCACTTTGTTATGCTTGGATTATCATAGCAGTCTGCAATCAAAGCTACAGTGTCACTGAAGTTGGCCTGTAACTGTGCTCTAAGCTTATTATAAACGACTCATGACAAACCATTACAAATTTGTAGCCATCTCCTTCACCATGGCAAGACCTATGAAGGCTGCAAGTACTGCACTTACGCAGCTCAAACTTTTTATTCTTGACAGCTAATGACTAGTTTCTCTTGAGGTGATAGAGCTAGTGGAAATCCCTGTAAGCCAGGACACCTTGGGGCCTTACCAGGTAGGGCTCTTCCCCTGGCCCACAAGGGGGGCACTCATGGCACAGTCCAGTGGTCTGGTTGTAATACTCATTCTCACCGCAGTTGGAATATTCTGCTCTGGCCGAGCACATCAGAGACACCTGCCACAGAAAGCACTCTTTATAATAAAATTATTTATGGGAAGTTGCTATATAAACAAATTAAACACAGACATAATAAAGTAAAGTAAAGGTAAAGGGTAAAGGCCCTCCCGTTGATCGTCGATTTGCTCGAGCGGGCCCAGTAACGTCTCCATTGGAGACTTTGTTGTTACTGTGTCTGGCATATCGAATACTCTCGGTAGCTTGCCGGGCTCTCCGAGAGGGGCGGAGGAATCGAACTCGGGTCGGCCATGTTGGCCGCTTGTAAGGCGAACGCCCTACCCGCTGTGCTATCATAAAGTCATTAGTTACTTTTTTCTGAGTTTTTAAAAATTGTGTAAAGAATATGTAATATATTTAACAGTAGTCTATTATATTTTATAAAAATAATTTCAAGCAATTAAGCAAGATAAAAATTTGTCATTTGCTGCAAAATGAAAGGAATTCAATGCAAGAAATGGAAGCATAATAAATTCACACTTATTATGTAAAACAAAATAAGAAGGAAGGATGGTTTTATTCATGCAGGCAATATGAAGATATAAAATGGATAATTATATAAAAGAAAAATATGCTACTGAATATTAATAACAGAACAAAGTAATCTAAAGAAAAAAGAGGGCGGTGGAGGAGAAATGGTGCAGGGTTTGTTAGAAAAGGTCACTGTCACTGTCACTGTCCTCCCGTTGTTCATCGATTTGCTAAGCAGGCCCAGTAATGTCTCCATTGTGAGACTTGTTACTGTGTTTGGCATATCGAATACGTCACGGGTAGCTTGCCAGGCTTTGCTGTGCGGGCGAGATACTCTTGGTAGCTTGCCAAGCTCTCCGAGAGGGGTGGAGGAATCAAACTCGGGTCGGCCATATTGGCCGTATGCAAGGCAAACACCCTACCCTCTGTGCTATTGCTCCAGCCCGTTAGAAAAGGTAATGGAAGGTATTTTTTTTTGAAAGAGAATAAAGAAGCGAAGGGAAGGGAAAGAAGGAAGATAGGAAGAATGAAAGGAAGAAAGTATTTTATATATATATATATATATATATATATATATATATATATACTGTAGAACTTCCCAGATAAGGCAGGCAGGTGATGTAAGAAGGTCACTCATCACTTAGAGAAAGCATGTCACAGAAGGGAGGACAGAGACGTGTAAAGCTAAAGAGTAACTGAGACACAAAGTTCTTGGAATCATTCTTTCCTGTTTTTCATCACCTTGTCTGATTTTTTTCATCTTTCTTTTCTCCCTCCTTCCCTCCCTTATTTCAGACAGGAGTCATTTTGGTCTTCTATGTGCCTTGGGCATGCAGTGAATGTCTCGGGTGCTGGACCCCAAGGCTGTAGGAGATGGGGCCTGGTGGGGGTCCCTGCTCATTTGTGTCACTCAATTATGTCTCTGGCCATGAGCTGACACACTGGGCCTGAGTCTGTTTCCAGATGGACAGTCTCATCCTTCCCTTTCACATCTCTTTTGTCAAAAACTCCCTCCCTTCTCTGAGCCTTGATGTAAGCTCTCCTCGGCCCATTCATTCTTTTCTTTCCTATGTTCAGTGGTGTGGAAGAGGCAGTCACTCTCCAAGCTTCATTTTTAGTTATATGTGCATTTCTCTACCTAGTGGGTCCCAGGAAGGATGCCCGGGTCTCTCTCAGTCTCAGCCCCACAGGTGGGGTGCTCATCATCTAGGCAACGCATTGGTATTTTACAATGAGTGTTCAAGAATTTTTATCTATTTGGGGCTAGAGGATCCTATGCTGAGTGGAGTCAGAAAGAAAGGGACAGAGATAGAATGATCTTTCTCACATGTGGGATTTAAAGGTACACAGCAAGGGAACAGAAAAGGGTCAAAGGCAACACAATGGTAGGCATACTTGAGGCCGTGGTGGTGGTGGTTGAAGGGAGGGGTGTTGTGGTCCCTGGGGAAGGGTGAGGGGTGTGGTATTGGAATTATGTGCATAAGAAACCATCACTGACAGTATTGTAAATCACAGAACCTCAATCAACAATAATAGCAAAAATTACAATTACTAAAGTACAACTGGAAGGAAATAAAGTGTTGAAGACAGGATAGTGTAACTAGGTGGCTAAAACTTTAAGACTACTTTCTTATATAATCAAATCAAATTGATCATCTGTCCTAGGTGATAATGAATTAAAACAAGTTTTTCAATTGAATCACAGTGAGATACACAGTTATAAGGTTGTTCATGATTGGGTTTCAGCCATACAATCCTCCAACACTCATCCCTTCACAGTGCACATTACCCACCGCCAGTGCCCCCAGTGTCCCCTCTGCCCTTCCCCCACTGCCCACTTTGTGGCAGGCATTTTTTCTCTCTCTCTCTCTCTCTTTCTCTCTCTCTCTCTCTCTCTCTCTCTCTCTCTGTCTCTCTCTCTCTGTCTCTTTGTTTTTGGACATTACGGTTTGCAATACAGATAATGAATTTGATGAATTATTCTGAAATACAACTTTTTTTAAAAGCTTACTTTTCATTTACAACCCCCTGCAAAGGCAGCTGCCACACAAAGAAGTCTGATTTGCAGCCACAGTGCAGCTGAGTTCTTTGGGTGATTGTTCCTTCAGAGGGACCTACTGCTCATAGAGTTATTCCTGCTTCATAGCTGGGGAAACAGACTCAGGAGGTCCAGGAGGCCTGTCCAGGACCCTCTGCCTGGAAGTCCCACAAGAACCCACTTCCGAGGAATCCTTGAGAGGACTCCAGGTAAGGCAGTGGGCGGGACCTCCGTACACTTACCACCAGGACAGGGAGCCATGGCATGTGCTTGCAGTCCCCTGGGTGGGCCATACTCTCCTGCGGCTTTTCTGGAAAGACACACGACATCTGCACAGCCGAGGCCACCTCAGGTGGCACTGGCCCCAGCCCAGACTCTACGGGCCAGCAGCCTGATTCAGTCTTCCTGGATGTGAGGCACGTCGCCAAATCAGAGCAACGCTGAAAAGAAAAGGACAATGATGAGCAGAGCCCACGTCTCCCAGAAAAAAGGACCCAGTTCCCACTTCATCCCGGCTGGGGAAGGGCATGGGTAGGGCAACTGAAGCTCAGCCCAGGGTCGGAGCCAGGCAGAGACTCTCTGAGTGTGCTGCAAGGGCAGCCCTGGAGACAGTTAGCGGTCTCACTTTCTGCCTCCACTTCCTGATCCCCTGGCTTTGCATGAAGTTCTTCCTTCTCTCTGTTAAAAATGGGGCATTTCTGGGGTATGGTGCTGCTAATCTGTACCTGTGAGGCGAGTGTATCCACAGTCTGATGGCACCTTCAGACTTCCAGATACTCAAAAATTGCTGCTGTGCCTTTGGCCAGACCCCAAAAACTTGGGGCAAAGTTTACCAAGAAAGTAAACAGCTAAAAGTTGGGTATGTGGGAGAGACACCCACAAATCACTTCTGGCTCAGCTATATAATTGGAGGCAAGGCCTCTCTTGTTCTTGATGGAATTGCTTAATGGCTATTATCCCAGAGACTCAGAGACAAATCTCAAAACCTAGCAGCTTTTGGCAGAAATGTGTCTGGTCCCTGCAGTAGGTTACTGTCCCCGGGCCAGCCCTGGGGAGGGAGGGGGGTGAAAGGGTGCTATCCCTCTGCCTGCTCCCTCTTGGTGGCTCAGTGGCCACCATCCTCCAGAGGCAATTGGACAGTCAGGTTTGGGCCTGTAGAGACGAGACATGCGGGGCCTCACGGGATGGGGGTGCAGCCGGTCCTTTCCTCCCCGCCCAAGGAGACCCTGCGTCGCTGCCCACGAATAGCCTCTCTGTCTTCTGATCAAGCTGCTTAAAAGCCACGATCCAGAGACTCAGAAACAAATATCGTAAGCCAGTGGCTTTTGGCAGAAATGTGTCTGGTTTCTGCATTAGGTTAATGGCGCTGGGCCACCCCTGTGGGGAAAGGGTGCTGTTCCTCTGCCTGCTCCCCCTTGGCGGCTCAGTGGCCACCATCCTCCAGAGGCAATTGGACAGTCAGGTTTGGGCCTATAGAGACGAGACATGCGGGGCCTCACGGGATGGTGATGGGGGTGGAGCCGGTGCTTTCCTCCCCACCTTAACAAGACCCCAAGTCGCCGCCCACGAATAGCCTCTCTGTCTTCTGATCAAGCTGCTTAAAAGTCACGATCCAGAGACTTAGAAACAAATCTTGAAACCCAGCAGCTTTTGGCAGAAATGCGTCTGGACCCCATGTAGGTTACTGTAGCCAGATCATCCCAGGGGGATGGGTGCTGTACCTCCACCTGCTCCCCCTTGGCAGCTCAGTGGCCACCATCCTCTAGAAGTCATTGGACAGTCAGGATTGGGCCCGCAGTGATGGGACACTTGGGGCCTCTCAGGATGGAGGTGGAGCTGGCCCTTTCCTCCCTGCCCCAACGAGATCCCAAGTTGCCACCCATGAATGGCCTCTCTGGCTCCTGATCAAGATGCTTAATGGCCATGATCCAAGAGACTCAGGAACAAATCTCAGAACCCAGCAGGTTTTGGCAGAAATCCCTCCAGATTTAATTGTTAAAATTGTGGAATTCCAAAATCGCCTGCCCTCTACTGTGGCTGCACTGCAGCACATGTTATTCATAATCAGCAATAGAAAACAAACTGTCTGCTGTTGCCTTTTGGGCAGATCTGAGTGTTGGGGTAAAATCCCAAGTAATAATGGTGGGTCTGGTGTCGAAATATTGAATGTAATCAAAGTAGAGAGTAATGTGGAAAGCATCTGCCCCACAGGTAGGGGGAGGGTGTGGGATGGGGGGTATATTGGGGTTTTTGGTGGTGGACAATGGGCACTGGTGAAGAGATGAGTGTTTTATTGTATGACTGAGACTTAAACCTGAAAACTTTGTAACTGCTCTCACGGTGATTCAAAAAATAAAATTATAAAAAAGGGGGAAAAAGGGAAAAAAATAAAAATGGAATATTTCTTTCAAAGTGATTCAGAGAATTATGCATTTACTATATTTTACAGTGACAAACTCAGAAATGTTAGTCAAATCCCAAGGTCACACAGCTTTAAACGGACTGAGGACAGTGACAGCACAGTTTTTTACTTTTATATGAACACCTTCCTTCCTTCCTTCCTTTTCTTTCTTCATTCTTTCCCCACTTCTGATGATGCTAAGGACTAACTACTAACTCCTGGTTCTACACTCAGGGATCACTCCTGCAGGGTTCAGGGGCCATATGCAGTATCAGAGCTCAAACCCAGGTTGGCTTGTGCAAGGCAAATACCCTACCAGCTGTACTATCTTTATGCCTCTGAGAATTGATGCTTTCTAAAATCTCTCCTAAAATCTCTCTCCTAACATCCCCCTGCCCCCCACCCCCACACACACAACAGTGCAGAATAGCCCCATACAGAAAATCCAATAAATGGGAAGTCTTCCTTTCTCTCTCCTTCCTTCTCTCCCTCCCTCCCTCCCACCTTCCCTCCCTCCCATCCTTCCTTCCTCCCTCCTTCCTTGCCCATCCACTCTACAATACAATATCTTACAGGCATTAGGGAGAAACTCAACAAAAGACTATTGATTGGAAAGAAGTTGGAGGGAGAGGGAGGCTATGTAAGTCAAAAGCCAGGAAGGGCCTCGAGGAGGAAACCTGGGCCTGCGTGGGTGGCCAAGGTGCTGCGCACCGGAGATGGGGAAGGAGCTCCTGGAGAACAGACAGGTCTTTCCCCTGGACTGGTGTCTTGGTCAGTGAGCGCTTTGGGGGAAGGCTTTAGGGAGATGCACTCCATAACAGTGGCTGCAGGGAGTGGGGGTGCTGCCTTGCGGCCCCTGGCACACTGCTTCCCTGGAAAGGGTGCCTGTCTGACTCCAGCGCAGGGTGCTGGCACTCATGCTTCCCTGGAGAGACACCATCACTATTACTTATATTGTTACAAGGAACAAGACAAACCTAAGAGCATCTCAGTCGCACAGAACACAGCTCTGAGCAGAGACATCACACACTTTCTGGCATTGTGTTTGTTTCTGTTCTGTATAGGAGCCTTCATAGACAGGAAGGTTCCCTCTTACCTGCAACTTTCATCCTCCTTCAGAGAACCATAGTTTGAACATTTAATAGACTGACATGTTTTGAGAGAGAGACCATAGTCACACCACATTCCTTTGTTTTATGGCCATTTCTGGCAATGCTCAGGGCTAACTCCTGGCTCTGTGCTCAGGCATCTCTCCTAGTAGTGCTGGGGGTACAGTATGCAATGCCTAGGATAGCACCAGAATTGACCATATGCAAGGCAACGGCCATACCCTCGTCCTACCTCTTTGTACCATCCCGAGTATGTAATGGGAAAGGATCGTCTTGCACTATCCCCTTCACATAGCTTTTATGGCAGTTTATCATCAATGTTCTATTTTATTATTGTCCTTGTCACTATCTTACCCACATAATTAAAGAGTGGAACTTCATTCTAGTTGTGTTTGTGTACACAGGCAACACTGCATGTGGTGCCTTCGAGAATGACCTCTTGGTGGTCTCAGAACCCCCTGTGGCTTAGGAAGGATTTCTGCATACACAGAGTGGGCCTCATATGACATCCACCAAACTTTCAACAAACACCTTTCTTGTCAGGGAGTGAAAAAAGGTGGAGGTTACTACATGGGTTATGGGGGAACCCTCCCTTTTCCTACAGTTTCTATTGCATGACTTTTAGATCACATATGAACTTTATGATGAGAAAAACAAGCAATAAGGACCTTCCCACTTGGCACAGTTACCCCAACAGCCTCTCTTTCCTGGTCAGTTATCTCAGGTAACTGAGGTGCAAAGGCCAGGTTTCCAGAATCTCAAAAGCTGCCCAAAGTGCCTTTCCCCCTCTTTACATCACACTGCCTTGCAGTTCAGGAACATATTTACATTTGAGCAACATTAAATGGACCACGCAAGATGAAAACACCGGCCACCCGGCAGTGAACTCCTGGGTATTTTCCTTCTAGCAGTCAGGCAGGCCGGGGCAGGCAGGGGTGGGGAGGGGAGGGGGGTCAGGAAGAGGAGGTGCAAAGCTGGCAAATGAAAGCAGAGGAACCACCCTGGCGGGGGTGATGGGCAGCAGCGGTGGGCAGCCTGGCCTTGCACACTGACCCAGAGGCTTTCCTGGGCAGAGCTGCAGGCTGGAGGCTTCCAAGAACAGGACCAGGGACCCCAAAGTTAATGACTCCTAATCATAGTTGAGTCTGGGAGGGCATCCCTGTAAACCGGAGGAGAGTTGGGCCACCCCACCTAGCACTTTCACACCTTACTGTCAGCCAGTATGGAAAAGGCTCATTAGAAAATGTTCCAAGGGAGACAGAAAAGAAAAAAAAATAGACACAACAAAAACCAGAAGGCTGTGGCTTTGGATGACATTCTACTCTGCCTGAAGTTCTGTGAGAAGAGGAGAGGGTAGGGAAGGAGAGCAGGGAGCCCTGGGGGCTGGGGATGGTCCCATTTCGGCATTCTAATTGGCCCTGGTGAGCCCAGCCTTGGACCAACTTGGGGGGGGGGGCTGTTTCCTGTGTTTGGCTGTGACCCCCGGTTGGCTGGTTGGTTGGTTGGTTTGAAGCTGGAGAGCTACCACCTACCACACAAGGCAGCACCCCTCCCTGCCCTTCCTCTCTCAGAGATGCCATAGAGAGTTTGCCCGGGCAGGGTTGAGTGACCTCCGAATGCCTCTTCCTATCTGCCCAGATGGGCTGCTTCCCTGTGCTTGATGAGTGTGGTCCAGGGCTTACAATCAGTCTATGTGTGAATCCAGCCCCCAGCCAGGCCTGTCCCTTGATGCCTAGGTTGTTCCCATGACACCAAGAGACCCTGCACCAAAGCAAGGCCAGTA